CATTAAAAATGAATGTAAATAATAGCAAATTCGTAAAATTTATGATATGAAGTAAAGAAAAGAAAATAAATATATATTTAATGATTTAGATTGTCAATTGCAATTGTATTTATTTAAAACATTTATAATTCAATTAATGATATGAAAAATGTGAATGTAAATTCACTTTTTTTGCATTTTATTTATTTTTCTTGTTGATTAATTATAATTAATTTTAAAGTTTTTGAAAATTTAAATATATAAAGAATACAAATTAATTTTATAAATAAATATTCAAATTCAATATGTAAATTATAATGAATTTTATATATATGAAGAATTGAATTTTCTTAAAATTAAATAGGAATTGAATTTAATATTATATAAATAATGGATTTTCCGTAGAGACAATTAAATTCCCTGAAACAAGGTCTTATTTATATAAATAATAAATGGTATCTTAAAAGTTAATCGATCAATCAATCAAATAATCAATCGATCAATTAATGAATTAATTACGTATTTACAGAGAATACATACATCGCATCGAAGAGGAGACTAGCTGTCTCAAAGTTAACTCACCATTCATCGAGAACGACAATATCTGAACTATAAAATTGAAGGGAATTGAATAGACACCTAGTTGACTCGTGATCAACTCCACAAAATTTTTCTATAAATGAATTTAAATTTATTTAAATTAATTTTTATTACTATATTATAATTTAATGAAAATAAAATAACTAAACTAACTAAATAAAATAAAAATAAATATATTTTAAAATAAAATTTTTTCTACTCTTATTTTAATTAAATATAAAATAATATAGAAGTACTGATAATTATTTATGAAGTAGACAATTTCATTGATTTTTATAATTTTAAAATATTTTTCAAAATGAAAATTTTGAACAACTTTTTCCTATACATATAAATTTAGTTTTTAAAATATTTTTAAAAGTTTTTGATATTAAGTATATTTAAATTTTACATTAATTTATTTCATTGAATTCTATTTATAAGTCAATCAATTATAAAGTTTATCTATTTCTCAAAAAATCATTATAGAAAATAATTTAAAGAAAATAAACAATAAATTTGAATAATATTATTATTATATTCACTCATTAATATATTGTAATATTATAATATTAATTATTTTATAATAAAATAATTATTAATAATTAAATA